CAATAATTTAAAAGGAGAGGGGGGCAGGGAAACACAAGAATAAATTTGAAAAAGATAAAGGTAAGAGATGGTTTTCTACAATGTCAAACACAACACAAAAGATATAGAAAATCAGAACACATCAACCATGGAAGAAAGTAGAAAAGAATTACTAATGTCCTTAACCCCCAATTAAAGAAAAGAAGATAAGGATACAAGGTCTCAATGGATTTAATGGTGAATGCTCTCATCTAAGAACTAGATGACTCCTTGATAAATCCAAATGTTTATCATTATCTCCTGGCCAGACATATAGTAGGCACTTAGCAAATATAGTGAATATATTCTGAAAAATCAAAGCATGGCTATCAAAAACAACTCTTCACAGAAAAGAAAGTATAATTTCCATGGCACCAGTAGCAGTCAATAACCCATGCCCTGAAGTACTGAACTGTCAAGGTTCTTCCTACTCTACTTTGCACGAGGAGAAAAGTTGCCGGTGTACCATAGAAAAGAGACAAAGAGCACCAGACACCACTGGAAAGAAAAATCAGTGAAACTAACTCCTCACCTCCTTCATTGCTTTCATTGCCACAGCATCCTAATAATCTGTATTACTAACTGGAAGGACACTTCCCTAACATGATGAAAGGCCAAACCACAAACTATTAATGTGACAAAATAAACTTTGTTATGCAAGTAAACTCTGAACATAATCAAATAAGACAAATAACTTATAAGGAACTGGATGTCTGTTATCTTACTGCTTGGCCTGGTTAATGCCCACAAATGCAGCAATGGCCTACTGGTACTCCTCAGGCATATGGGCCATGCTATTCTAAAGAGTGCCATATAAATATCAACACTGATGTACAATAAAAGCATGTGCTATTCCTAAGGCAAACTTCTATCAACCTAAAAGTGACTGATTAATCAGTTCCACAGCACAAGAGAAGACTTCATCTTGCTAATTCATTGTAAGAAATGTTCATCTTCAAATCTAAAATATGAAAAAGGTCTAAAAAAATACTTAAAAGATCATGTCTCTTAAATGTTTTTAAAGTGAAAATAAATGAGCTTTTAACATTTTAAATACAAGCAGTCCCCAGGTTAGAAATGAAATAGGTTCCTGAGAACATCCTTAGGTCAGATTTTTTTTATAACTCGGATCCCTAATGAACAGTGCATATACAGCAATAATAATAACAATACTATAATGGCTCATATGTGGTAATAATAATACAATGTAATACAGTAATAATAATACTACCCCTGTACTATAATAAGTTACAGAAAGTATTGTGCTCTTTCATTTAATTCAAACAAACAGAACATAAAAACAAACTCACATAAAAAGCTTAGACAGAACATAGATGCAATACCAAAAAGGAATATTAAAGGTCAACACTCACCTAACGTTGCATCAAGGCTAGGCTAATAGGAACATTAACCTTACTTTGACCTTCTAACCAAATCGATAATAACCTTTCCATTTCAATAATTAATCTACTATGCTGTTTAGTATAATAATAATGGTGCTTTTACTGGAGCACTGTCTTTCACATATTCCATTATTCTCACTTTATCCTTTATAACTGTTCCGACAGGCCAGTGAGTGAAGCCTAATGCTTTCCCAATGAATGACAGCATCCAGTTTTTCTCCAAACATTTAATTATTTCTACTTTTGTTTCCATTGTAATTACCTTTCTCTTCACTGTAGGCTCACCTGGACTTACAATGGACTTTCACTTTGGAGGCATGGTCATAAGGGTAAACACAGACTCACAAAATTGAATAAAAAAGTTAAGATGAAAGTGATGCTGTCCGTAAGCAGCTGTATAAACAACGAGACAAGCCAGTAGCCAAACAATGCTGTGCCAATGAACCACTTACACCATGCAGGTTTGTTTACATGTATGGAAGAAACTAGTTCCTCAATTATTAATTTAATTATAAATTATCCTTATGGGGAGACTTGGGAACCCGTTTGTAAGTCGGGTCATCTGTAACCCAGGAACTGCCTGTAAGTCGAATGAGTCAAAACTAGAGATAATGGAGAAAAGTGAAAAAATATTATGTTCAGATGATATGATTTAGTGCCTAGAAAACCTAAAACATCTAGCACAATATATACTCAGGAGTACGTAACTCTGAGATCCCCATTAACAGATTTCTTTTTCTGTATACATTGTCCAATACGGTAGACAAGTACATCAAATTTCAACTTATTATTAGAGACAATCAGGGAAAAAAAGAAAAAAGAACTGGATCTGAGTTGAAAACAGGGAAGTAAAGGACGAAGAAAGGTAAGTAAGTTGCCTATAGTCACAGAATTGATAAATGCCAGAAAGATGATATGAATCCTTACATGACTCTCAAGCCTATGCTGTTTCCACTACACCATAGTGCCAGATGGGACCTTTGGCTTAACAGGTATTTACTAAACACCTATTATATAACAAGCACAGGAATACAAAAATGAGTAACATGTTCCAAGGAGATCTAAGTTAAGTCAACTGCCCAATTATTGGGTTTGAAACCTAGGTCTCCTTTCCTAAATCCAATTTCAATGCTCCTCCCACTACATAGTCATTACATATCTAAAAATCACATATTCTAACATGTAACGTATTATCCTTCCTATGGACAACAAACATTTTAATGCTAGAGGTAACTACAAAATTTTTACTGTAATGTTATTAGAAGAGTGCCAAAAAAGGCTGACATACCACACAGACAACACCTTTTGTACTTTTAAAGCAACCTTAGTCCTGAACACACATACAAATACAAAAAAATACTTTGGGGCCGAAGCAGGCGGATTGTTTGAGCTCAGGAGTTCAAAACCAGCCTGAGCAAGAGCGAGACTCCGTCTCTACTAAAATTAGAAAGAAATTAATTGGACAACTAAAAATATATATAGAAAAAATTAGCCGGGCATGGTGGCGCACGCCTGCAGTCCCAGCTACTCGGGAGGCTGAGGCAGGAGGATTGCTTGAGCCCAGGAGTTTGAGGTTGCTGTGAGCTAGGATGACGCCACGGCACTCTAGCCCGGGCAACACGGTGAGACTCTGTCTCAAAAAAAAAAAAAAAAAAAAAATACTTTGGGAAAGTGGGGGGCAGATCTGAGATCTACATCAATTTCCAAAGCAAACTATATTCAGTTCAAGTATAGTACATTCTCAAATATTAACACATCACTTGCAAGTTTCCTGCAGATATTTTAACGCAATCACTTAGAAAGTATGAACATTTAAGTCAGTTGAGATAGTTATTCTCAGCAATATTTTAAGAAAATTTCAGGTAATTCAATGTTTGTACAACTTGGAGAAATGTGGGCTTAAAAATAATACAGTTAAGTAGATTAATACTGGATCAATATCCACAGTCATTAACAGATCTACAAATGGCTCTGTGTCTGATCTGAATTCTGTTCGACATTTCCTATCACAGACAAGATGAAGACCCAGAAATTATATTGCAAGATCAGAAAAAAACTTTACAAAACCACTGTCTCTTTCATTTCTCCTGTTTAGCAAAGTAGAACCTGCAACTGGCTATCTGTCATACTGTGACCAGGGAGAAGTATAAATAGCAAACAGCGTTTTCCAAAACAATTGAAGGAAAAAGTCCCATGACTATGCCCTAATTACATGGACCAAAAGAGCAAGCAACCCATCCAGGACATGGACCAAGGAAGACAGTAAAACAAATGACTCCTATCCCCTACTAACAAACCTATGACCGATACATATGTGGAGATTCTGATTACTTCAGAAGGCTATTAACCAAGAATATTTGCACTTTAAAAATCTTCAGATAAAGTAATTCCAGTATAAACAGGAAAGAAGTAATTTTACTCATAACATGGGACTTCTGGCCAAGTAAAATTAAGATCAAACCACTTTAAGTTAAAATTTCTTTATAAATAAAAACCATACTTACCACAATCCATTCGGCAATGTTTTCATAGAGCTCTGGACTAAAAATCGCTTTTTTAAGCCTCGCTAGAGGACCATCAGCATCTACTAATCTGCACCGCATGAAAACATCACAGTAGCCTCTAAAGTCATTACAAGGGGATCCAGGTTGCAGGGTGATGGTTCGACCACTGAAGTGCTTGTTCCATTGCACAGACCCTGTACTGGCACAAGTCGATGGCTCCACTGGAAAAGAAGTGCCAATACAAGTTGAAGATCAGATTTCCTAATGGGCCAGTTGGGGAAAGACAAAGGGAAAAAAGAAAAAACTGCCTAAAATCATTACCATGACATGCTATACAGACCTGCATTACTTAGGCTGGATAATGCCATTAGTAATTCACTTTAAATGTTACAATATAAAGAAACAACCAGCAAGTCTTGATTTAGTGCCCACAATGGCTTTAAAACCTTCTAACAGTGTTAATATAAATTACTGCCATAAAGCTGGCAATGTTGTGTCTAGTTTTATCATTTTAAAAACACTATAGGGCCATAATACTAGAGACATAATGCTATGCTACATTTAAAATTTGCTCAAGAGGACAGATTTACCTAGAAACTATCTGTCCAAATTATATGCCAAAATTTAACACTTAAAATTTAGAGAAAATAACGGTTTTTGAAGCATATTTTATATTCTTATATTTTAAATGCCTTACTTTTCTTCATACAGCAGACATGGCATAATTCCTTATCATCTTTGCCATCAGAACTGGCACAGGTACACTCCTCCAAGCCATATTTCTCACAGATAGAACCTGCACATTGCTGGAGGAAAAATAAAAGACAAATTATTTAATCCCTGTATAGTCAAACTATTGTTCATAGTAATAGCCAGGCAGGTATAAGCTTTCAATGTCAGAATAATTAAGTGGAAATACATGGAAAACAAACACAAATGAGTATCAGAACTGGAATCATAAAAACACATTTGAAAAAGAGTAAATGCAAGTAAGATAGTAAATCTTGTACAGCAATGACAACTTAAAAAACCACTAAAACAAAAGCACAGAGATTAGATGAGCATAAATTTATGTTAGTTATTGTGGTTCCTCTGTAAGAACAGAAAACTTAAACGTTCTTCATGTAGAAGAAAGTGCTGTTCGGCCACGAAAGCGTTAAAGGCTTCACATTCAGAGAAAATGACCAGAACAGTTCTTTTACTTAGGCTATGGAAATATTAATTTATAAAACTTAAAAGCAGTATAGACAAAGTCACACGCCTAGCTGCACGACTATGTTTTCTCTAGAGAGTATCAATGAAATGTAGTTGGAAAGATGAAAGACAAGTCAGTAGCTAACTGAATGCCACCTAATACATTCATGGCTTTGTGGGGAATTCAGTAATATTATTAAACACAGACCAAGATTAATTACTTTAACTATGTACCTTTAAGTGTCAGTAATTATCCTGAAAAATAGATTTCCTAAAATTAAATAAAAAAACATAAAAAATCAAATGCTTACCCCATTAATGCACACTTGTGTATGTCTATTACAGTCTGTGAAGTTTGGTTTAGGATCAGATGCTGGACAGAGAGCTGTGACGCCATTACATATTCCTTCTCTTGCACAGTCTGAATCATCCCGACACTTTTCATACTTTGACTTGAACGCACACTGTGCTGTACAACAAGGACCTTGACTTGGACTAGAAGAAACAAGTGATTTAAAAAAGTAAATCACTAGGTATTTTCTATATACTATTAGATGTTAAAGCAGATTAGATCCAAATTATTAGATATGGTCCTAATTTATAAATTATAAATCTCATCTTTTAAATACTAAGTATATTACTATTTGAAGGTACACAACTTCAAATATTAGAATAAGAGGTGATGTCAGCAAGATGGCAAACTAGAAGCCCCTA